CGCAGGCTCAAGTCTTTCTTCCTCTGTTTCTTTCATTATTACCCCTTGGCCATCTTTCCTTTTCCTCGCTCTGGAACTCTGGTCCCTGAGCCTCCGCACCTACGCCCTCCTCCACGCCTGTGTCCCTTATTCCTGCTCCACATTTGAGACATTTCGCCTCTTTGACCTGTCAGGCCACTGATGCCGTTCTTAACAAGTCCATCATCTCTTCGTTCATCTGTTCCATTTTCAATCTTAAAGTCACGTTCTGTCTGATTAAGAAGGGCTTTGTTATGCAGCCTTGGCAAGCTTGTTACCTGTGTCTCCCAGCCGCAGTGGCCTGCGGGGTTCTAGTCTCAGAACTGGACCTCTTAGGTGCCTTGTTTCTTTCCTTTGCCCCTCACGGCCTCTCAGTCTGGGTTGTTGAGCTGCAAGGGCCTCAGGCGGCGGCGCTGGCAAATGTGGGAGTGGGGAATGGAGCAATCTCTCCGCCAGGGGCTGCCTTGTCTAGTTGTCCAGGGACCAGTCCTCCACAGTGGCAAAGGGAGGACCCTACTCTGTTCCAGATCTCCCTGTTACAGGCACCAGCTCTCATTCAGTCAGAGGGATAGGATTTAACTTAGCTTGCCTGTGTGGAAAACTGCCGCGACGGGGCTGCTAGGGAAGGTTACGCAGGTTGTGCACTGCACAAGGGTGCCAGGTTGAGAGTAAGGACTGTGCTCTGCTCGCCAAGCTGAACACTGGTGCAGACTGTGTTTGCCCACAGAAAGGAGCACTTTTTCTTTGTACAAAAAGGTCATCCTCTCACTAAATGTGTGCCCACCAGGCTCTGTCTGCCCAGAGGGGACATTTGTCCCTAAACTGCATAAAGAAACCCTATGGGCTAGCAGCAGCCCAAGCCTATGGGTTCTTGCAGCTCAGGAAAGCCAGCAGCCCCTCCCAGGCCACACTCAGAAGGGACACCCAATGCTGCCCCACCAGATGTCTCTGCAGGCCACACTGCGTGGGCCCCCAAGTCCCAGTCCTTGCTGGCCTCTGCGTTGCAGGTCCTCAGACCCTGGCCAGGCCAGCCGTGGTCCAGGTTCTATCCTGCTCTGCTCTGTAACGGTCCAGCGGGGAGGGGCCAAAGCCTCACAGTTGCCCTCCTGGAACGTGGACCTGCCCGCCTGCGTGACCTGGGTTAGCGGTTGAGCCCTCAGGGGAAGGGGCCGACGGCATCTGCAGGAGGAGAGGCCAGGGACATGGAGACACCATCCTCCCTCCATTCCCTCACAGATTGATAACTTTGTCCCTGCATTTGTCATGCGTTCATTTATTGAACAAATATTTTTTAAGGCCAGATGCCGTGCCAGGCCTGGCTCCATTTCGTGTCTGAGCGTGGGTCCCTGGCCTACCCACCAGCTCCCCTCCAGAAGCCCCTCCCCTCCCCCAGCCTCATTGCTTTTCCCATCACTTTCTGTTTCTTCGTACTCGTGTGAGGTTTCCCAACCTCCCTGTACCCTGGCTGCAAATTCTAGCAAGTGATTTCATGTCTGTGGGCTTCATTTTCTTATAGGGCAAGGAGGGAAATAAGTCCCACCTCACAAGGTTGAGACCGCCATGAGCCTGGCGTGTGAAGGGTCCTGATGAAATTGGGGTCTGCCTCTGCCCTCTCCCCCCCTCCCCCCAGAGATGAAAACAAAAGCCACCATTCAGGAGCCTACCTGCCCGGTCAGCTGCACCAACGGCCTCCCTGGCTCAGCCTCCCCTGCCAGGCCCTCCCCAAGTCTCTGCATCTGAACCCAGGGACCCTCTGGTGCTGAGCAGAGGTGGACACGGCCAGATGCAGCGACTGGTCTCGGCTGAGGCTGACATCTGCCCGCTGTCACCACCACATCCACCCCAGTCTCAGCTTTCTCATCCCCTCCCCTCCCCCGGAGAAATGATCTTCCAGAGAAAAGCAACTTCTTTGTTAAAAAAATTTTATTGAGATATAATTCATATACCATACAGTTCATCCATTTAAAGTTACAGTTCCATAGTTTGTAGTATATTCACAGAGTTGTGCATGCTTCACAACAATCAAGCTTAGAATATTTTTATTACTCTGCCCCCCAAAAAACAGTACCCCTTAGCTGTCGCTCCCCAATCCTCCCATCCCCCGCCCTAGGCGACCACCAATCTACTTTCTGTCTCAGTAGGTTTGCACGTTCTAGACATTTCCCTTACATGGAATCATACAAGATGTGGTCTTTTATGACTGGCTTCCTTTTTATTGCCAAATTATATTGCATTTTCTGGATAAACCACATTTTATTTGCCCATTCATGAGCTGGCGGGCACCTGGGCAGTTGCCACTTTTTGGCTGTTACGAACAATGTTGCCCTGAATATCCACACGCAAGTTTTGATGCTTTCATTTCTCTTGGGGATGTAGGAGTGGAATTGCTGGGCCGTGTGGTAACTGTGTGTCACCATTGGAGGACTCTTCTCCCAAGTGGCTGTACCATTTTACATGCCCACCAGCAGTCTGCGAGGGTTCCAGTTTTTCCACATCTCGCTAATACCTGACTTTCTGATTATAGCCATCCCAGTGGGCGTGAAGTGGTGTCTCATTGTGGTGTGGATTTGCATTTCCTTGATGGCTAGTGATGTTGGACATCTTCTCATGTGCTGGCTGGCTATTTATATATCCTCTTTGGAAGGAAACTCCTTTTTGCCTGTGTCCTGAACGGTCACCCTCCAACATTAAGAGCTGACCGTCACTCCCTTGACTGCGTCATGTGGGTGACTGCCCCTCAGGAGGGAGGTACGGGTGGAACAGTCAGACTTCCCCTATGCATGGGGAACAGGTAGCATGTTGTCCAACCCAGCTGGACTTTAGAGCATCCAAGATCTAACTCCTAAGATAGCTAAGCATAAATATTTGCTTGTTACTATATTTATAAGAAGATTGCGTAGTTACAAGATAAAGAACTGTTAGTGCCCGGACACTAAGGTGTCTTTCTCATTCATATTCAATAATCGAGTCCAAGTCTAGTCAATAATATGCCTTCCTCCCTCGCCCTTAGCTTCTCTGGGTTTACTGCAGTTGTGCCAGTTTATCTCCAGGATAAATTCCTAGCAATGGAATTGGTTAGTCCAAGAGCATAGGCATTGGTTGTACCAGTTTACACTTCCATCGGTGATGGATGAGATTCTGTGTTTCCACACTCCTTGACAACAGTGTGTGAGCAAACTTTTTAATCTTGGCTAATCAGACAGGTAAAAATTGTATCTCAGTGTAGTTTTACTCCATACTTGTCTTACAAGTGAGATTGACATCTTCTCATGTTTTAGAGCGATTTGATTTTCTTTAGTGTGACATGTCAGTATCTTCTCCTCCATTTTCTTATTAATTTGTAGGAGCTCTTCATATGAGTTGCAAATATTTTTGCCAGTTTATCGTTTGACTTTGTTATAGTAGGGTTAGCCGTGGGAAAAATTACTTTTATTTAGTCAAGTTTATGAGTCTTTTCTTTTAGAGTTTATGGGTCTTGTGTCATCCTTAGAATTGCTTTTCCATTTCATAAATATTTTTTAAATTCTCCCACGATCTCCTCTATGGTTTTGAAACCCTGTCCAGTGTTTCTTCCCACCCACTGGCCAAACTGCCTGAGGCAGGGCTGAGGGCAGCCAGGGAAGTTGAGTGCTGTCCAGGCTGGCACTCGGTGCTGTGGTCATTACTCCCAAACTCTCTGATACCCCCTGGCAGGTCCTCGCCACTGAATATTCTCAAATTGGACACAAATCCCTTTAAAACAGTGATACGCAGAACCTAATGCTGTCCCTTTACTACTGCCTCCAAAACAAGTGCACAAAGGCCTTTGGGGTTTTGTCTCTGTTCTACTTTGCTAATTAATTTCTGCAAGGAAACAGAGGGAATGTCCACTTAGTGACCGACTGGATTAGTTGCTCCCATCATGTGAGGCTCTGCGACTTTCTGTAATTGCTGCCTGAGACGGCTAGAAGGGTTTCAGCAGCCGGGCCAGGTTCAAGGGAGGAAGCATTGAACGGTGTAGTCAGAGGAGGCTCCACAGACAGACGAATGCAAGCCACTTCCCTGCTTACTGGAGCCGGCCACTTAACGTAACTTCTCTGACCCTCAGCATCTTCTATAAAATGGAGATAATGATTGCACCTACCGCCCAGGGCAGATGGTGCAGATAAGGCATTTACCACGGGGCCTGGCACAAAGTAAATGCTCAATAAAGGGAAGCTCTTCTCATTCCTAAGGTGACAGTCCTGAGCCAGGCCTTGGGTGAGGGGGTGTCTGAAAAGAAAAGGGAGAGACCTTTACAGCTGGAGAACACAGTGTTTTGATTGTAGTGGGATTTAATGTATAGAGGCGACTGAGTGACAACACAGAGACATTAAAAGAGGTTTTATTACTCACAGTCCCCAAGGAAAGGGCATGTGCCCTGCCAAGGCAGGGCCACGTGGGGAAATAGCAGGGTTAGTGAAGAGGCAGCACGAGCTAGGGAGAGCATGGCCCAGAACCACTGCTGTGGTTTCCATGGGAAGAACAGGGTAGGCGAGTTTGAGCAAGTTTAGAGTCAGACAGTTTGAATAGTTTCAGCAGGCTCTGGGCTACAGACGTAGTTTCTAGTTTTCTGGTACCTGGTCCTGGGGTGATTTAGGGCAGAGGAAACAACGGCTCAGTGTGCGAGAGTTATTAACAGATAAAGGAGGCCGGACAGATGGGCTTTGGATCAGTTGGTTTGCACGCAAACGGTGTGCTCTGTAGCAAGCTGTTTACTCTCCCTGGGAGGGGCAGTCTCTCCAGGATTAGCAAGTCCCCAGGGTGTCAGAGCATCATGAAATACAGGAAATAAAAAACGATTCATACACACAGCACGTTGAACATTAAAAGTCCCTCCCCCCTCCACTGCAAGCTGGTATAGACTGTGTGCTGAGCTGCCGAGTTTCCTGTCCTTGGAAGTATTCGAGCAGAGGTAGATGCTTGTGTGTTGGGGATTCTAGAAAGACATGCTTATGTAGACTACAGGGATGAACTGGAAAATTGTATTTGAAAGGCCTCTTTTAGAAAATCGCTCAAACTGGCTTAAACAGAAAAGGTATTATGACATAGTTAACTGGGAAGTTGAAGGGTTTCAGATATAGCTGGATCCAGGAGCACAAATAATGTCATCAGAAATTTACCACCAGTCTGTTGCTTAGTTTTATTTAGTTGGTTTCACTCTGCCTATTTAGCAAACCCCATGAGGTGAAGGCATGTATTTTCCAGGGTGTTACAGGGTCAGTAATGGGATTGGGTTCTTTGGTCACAGTTTTTGCTAAGTGCCATCCCTGAGCCCATCACTGCAGCCAGGAGGATGGGGGACCTGCGTGGCCAGGCCTGGGTTCTACCCCTTTAGCTGGGCAGTGTGGACAGCCCCACCCAAAGCACACAGACTGAGAGGGGCTCAGGGGAAGCTCCTCAAGGAAAACTGAGGGGCTTTGACAAAAGGGGTCACGGCTGGGGGAAGTGGGGGGATGGGAGGGTGAGCTGACCCAAAGTGACACCACGGCAGTCTTTCGGCACCTTCCGGCTCGCGGCCCCAGTCCTCGGGTCTAGGGTGCCATTTCTGAGTCCCCAGGTTGGGGAGCCGCTGGGACCGGGCTGACCCCTGCGCCCCCACCCGCCAGGCCCGGGGGATGCTGCAGAACCGCGTGCTGTTGTGGAAGGAGCAGTCGGACGCCAGCCGCAGCCCGTCCCGCGCACACTCCCCGGGCCTGCTGGGCCCAGTGCTGGGGCCGCCCTACCCCTCGGGCCGCCTGACGCCCACCCGCCTGGACATGGTGAGGCCCTGGGCGCCCCCGCCGCCATTCGCGCCCCCGCCGCCCCCCGCGGGGCCCTGGGGCCTGAGGGCCTCCGCCTGGAGCCTGCTTCCCCCCAGGCGCCCGCTCTACGCTGCGCCCCCCGGCCCGCCCTTCCGCCCCGGCGCGGCCTCGGCGCCCCCGTGGTGGCTGGGCCGGCGGCCCCCGAACCCCTACGCCGACGGCTGGGACTGGGGGTGGGGGCTGGTCTAGGCGCGGCCCCCGCCCTCGCCGCCCCACCCTCCCCTGCCCGTCTCCCCTCGCAGCCCCAGCGGCCTCTGGGAGAGTTCAGCTCCCCGCGCAGCCGGCACGGCTCCGGCTCCTACGGCCCCGAGCCCAACGACGCGAGGGCCGCGTCTCAGCTGGAGCCGGACCGCCGGTCCCTGCCCCGGACGCCGTCGGCCGGTGAGTGCCCCGAGCCCCGGAGCGCGGAGAGCGGGGCGGGGGAGAGGGTCTGGGCGGGGCTGCAGCAGGAGGGAGCGAGGGCAGACGCGAGGGAGAACTTCCCGCCCTGCAGCCTCGCTCTACGCCAGCGGCACCCAGTGCTCGCGCTCCAACTCCTTCGGCGAGCGCCCGGGCGGCGGCGGGGGCGCCAGGAGGGTCCGCGCCCTGGTCTCCCACTCGGAGGGCGCCAACCACACGCTGCTGCGCTTCTCTGCCGGAGACGTCGTGGAGGTGCTAGTGCCCGAAGCCCAGAACGGCTGGCTCTACGGCAAGCTGGAGGGCTCGTCCACGTGAGTGGGAGACTTGGGGTGCAGGGTGGGTGGGAAGGAGCCCCAGGGGCCTGGGCTCTAGCCCCGACTGAGACCTCCTGGCTGAGGTCTCCCTCGCCTCCCCCAGGGCCCCAGACGACTCTCCTTTCCTCCCGCTGCCCACACTCTGCCTCAGTTTCCTCATCCCTTCCCTGGGGGTAGGAAGAGCATCCTCACCAAGTCCAGGGTGGACCTTGAGAGATGGTAGAGGAGGGGGATGGGCAGGTTCTCCCCAAAGAGTGGAACATTATGGAGGGAACACCTTGACTGAGCAGCTGCCGAGCGTCCTGGCGAGAGGGGAGGCAGCCCGGAGCTCTGATGGAGGGTGGGCCTGTGGCTGAGCAGATGAAGGACAGGTGGATGAGGGTGGGCGTGCGGCTAGGTGGCAGTGAATGCCAGGCTGAAGTGTGCTCACCTCCTTGCAGTCACGCGCAGTGGAACTCCTTAAAGAACCCGAACCAATTTGTTTTGACACCCTGCGTGGAGGGGGAGATGAAGTCCATACACTGTGGCCCCAGAAAGCCTGGAGGACAGCAGGGTTGGCAGCCGGAGAGGGAGCATGCAGGGACCACTGTCCTGCAGGAGAAGCAGGGGGAGTTGGGAGCTGGCTGGAGCCAGGCAGTGTCCCCCCACAGGGCTTCCTGGACAGGAGAGCCAGAGCGTGGGGTGCCTGCTCCCACGAGTGCTGTAGGAGAGAAGGAATGAATGAGGCAGGGAGAGGGGCACGGATGAAGGGATGCACAGGCAGGGGGCTGGGTCTGTGGCTGAGTGGACGGAGGACAGGCGGATGAGGGGATGCGTGTGGGTAGGAGGGTGCATGTTTGTGCGAGTGGACAGACAGGTGGGTACGTAGATGGGGGGACTGGGTGATTGGGGGCATGGGAGGATTGCACGTGTGGGGTGCAGACACTGATGGGTGGTAGGAGAGGTGAGGGGTGGATTAGTGCACACACAGGAGATGGGCGGCCCCTGGGTAGCTGCCCATGTGGGTTACAGATGGGTGAGTGGGGACATGGGTGATGCATGGAGGGGGTTCATAGGTGCAAAGGTCCATGGCTGGGCAGGTGACCACATGGACCAGGAATGGAAGGGGGTCAGTGGGGAGAGACTGAGGACAGGGACACCACCTGCCCTGGGAATGCCCACCTTGCAGACCCCCATCAGACAACAGGTGTGTAGCAACCTTCCTGGGGGCCTGATGACAAACCTCCTAGACCAGTGCTCTCACATCACGTCCCTGGGAACACCGTTATTCGTTCTGTGACTCACAGGTTAGGAAAAATGGCACATTTTATCATGAGTCGGCACCTTAAGGTGAAACAGAAGTCAACATGCTGAAATGCTTCTGTTCTGCCAGTTTGAGATGAAGTAGCTTCCAGTTACCTTGAGGTGAAGGATGATTGGGTTATGTGGGGTCTAAGGCAGCTCTTTGGAGAACGCCTTCCCGGGTGTTCTGCAGGAATCCGATGGGCTCTGTGGAGTCTGGAAAGATGTCAGGAGCCACACAGTTTCTTGCCCTCCTCAAACCTGGGCTCTGAAGTCATGAGCCCCCAGCCTGGGCAGAATCCAAAAGCAGGCACAGACTGCTACGGAGCAGGGGTGCGGGCTCAGAGCTCTGGGTGAAGATCACCTGGGACCAGCCTGGGTAGAGGGGTGAGGCGGAAAGAGCGCTGGATTTGAAGTCAGGCACCCTGGGGCTTGGGTGCCCTTCCTCTCAGGTCCTGCTGTTGCCTGTGGTCCCCCCGCCCCTTTGGCGACTCCCTTAGCACACTGCCTTGTAATCAGCAGTTCTGGGTCTGTCTCCCCCAGGCTGGGAGCTTCTGGGGAGGAGGGACTGTGTCCTGCTCTGGGTGCGCGGCCCATGGTGGTGCTCAGTGAGCAGAGAATGAAGCCAGCCACTGTGTCCTTGCTTTCCTTCTCAGACCTCTGCTTCCCCCTCTCCAAGCTGCCCCAGCCCCTGGTAGGACATGGGGCTGGACAGGTCAGTTAGGGTCAGACTCTTCAAGGCCTTGAATGGCGGCAAAGACCTCCTTCATGGGACTGACCCAGTTACTGTCCACACAGCCCTGGATCACACAGCAGTGCGCAGTAATCGTCTGACCTGCTTGGGATTGTTTTGGTCATTGTTGATCACTGGGCCTTGCTTAAAGGACCCTCTGCTCCTGCCCCACAGGGGCGGCTGGTTCCCCGAGGCCTATGTGAAGCCTTTGGAGGAGGTGCCCGTGAACCCCATGGCCCCCTTGAGCCCCATGACCTCCATGAACCCTGGGAACGAGCCACCTTCCAGGTACCTGAGCAATCGGGTGGGGCAGGGCCTGGGACTCCAGTGGGGGGTGTCCCTGCCCACCAAGGGAGGCATCTGTGAGGTACAGTCTTGCGGGGGCCCAGCCCCTGGAGAACCACACTCCGGGAGACCCCATCTCTCTACCCGGCCGGTCATTGAGTCCATCCCTCTGCCTTGTCTCAGGACCTCCCTCAAGCCATGGCCTCCTTTCACCCAGGTGCAAGGAGGAGGCTGGAGGATGCCCAGGGTGCCCCCAGCCCTCTGACCCCCTTTCTCCGGACTCAGGTCCTACCCACTCCGGGGCAGCCACAGCCTGGACGACCTCCTGGACCGGCCGGGCAACTCCACAGCATCCTCGGAGTACTGGGATGGCCAGTCTCGATCCCGCACCCCAAGCCGGGTGCCAAGTCACGCTCCCAGCCCTGCACCTACGCCCTTGCCCGGAAGCCGCCGAAGCAGCATGGGCAGCATGGGGGCGGCCAGTGATGTCAAGGTGAGCCCCCAGCCTGTCCTCACCCCCAGGGCATCCAGTGGGCAGGGAAGCAGGAGACCAGGAACCCCCTGCTCTGTCCTTGGCCATCTGGCAGGGGACGCCTTCACCAGCCTCAGTCTGCCCCCCTGTGCAGAGAGGGGTAGGTGGGGTCTGAGCCTGGGCTAGAGGGTGGGGGAAAGCTTTTGTCTCAGGGTCTGCAGCCCAGGTGTCTGGGGGGAGGCACTCAACTTCTCCTCCCCACTCCCTGGGGCCCATGGGCTGGGGCTGGCAGGCAGGCAGGGGCTTCTGGTCCCTGGTGGGAGGGGTTCGCCTGCCCCTCTCCCCAGCAAACCGGCCCTTCCCCATCCCCACTGCAGAAACTTATGTCTTGGGAGCAGCACCCGCCAGAGCTCTTCCCGCGGTGAGTCCTCACATGGGGGTCAGAAGAGCCCCATCGCTGGGGGTGGGTGGAGGTGACCTGGTGGGGGCAGGAGACAGGACATGGACACCTGGTTCAGTTGCCCAGCGGCCTTCCTGGGCCCTCATTCCAGCCTCTCTCCCTACAGGGGCACGAATCCCTTTGCCACTGTAAAGCTACGTCCCACCGTCACCAACGACCGCTCAGCGCCCCTCATCCGCTGAGGCGCCTTCCTCCATCAGGGGTCCGAGGTGTGCCCCAGGGGCTGTGCAGAGCTGGTGGCAGCAGCAACAGCAGCAGCGGATCTAAGAAGTGGGACCCTGAGGCTGGGGGTGGCTGCCCTTCCCCAAACAGCAGCCCCAGCCAGAGCAGCTCCGCAGGTGCTGGCCTGGGGTCGGGGCCTTCAAAGCACAGCAGGAGGAACTGGGGAACAATTTCTTCCCCTGCAGAGGCCCCAGGACTCTCCCTGGGGGACCTAGCTCTTACCCCCGCACCTCTTTCCCGCTTCTCTGCCCCAGAGGAGAGGAGCTCCTCGTACCACCTTCCTGCCCCAAACACGCCCTGTTTAACTTTTGTAAACGATGAGAAATAAAGGAAGTGGACACGGCAGCAGGAACTGCGGTGTCTGACCTGGGGGACAGGGCAAGGGGTTGGGGATGGAGACCCCCCTGGAGAATGGAGTCCAGGGGGTCGTTCCCTGGGAGGCCCGTCTCACTCTCAGCCCCTCATATTGAGCAACTCTTTAGGGGGTGCCCCCCCGCAAGCTGCATCCCTCCATCTCCCGTGGGTTCCCCAGGAAATAGTGGCTGCTCCAAGTGTGGGGGAGGGGTGGCTGTGGCCGAGGGCCAGGACCGCCAGCAAGTTACATTTAGGTGGCCTGGGACACAGCACCCTTTGTTCTGGTCCCTCCGCCCCCACGTTCCCAGCCTCTCAGGCCTAGATTAGCCTTATCCAGGGGACAGCCACTGAGCCCCTCCTGGAATGTGGTGATTAGGGCTAGTGGGGTCTCTCCAGGGCAGGGCTGTGCCCCCAGCACCAGACTAGGACCCCCCTGGGCAGGGCTCTGTGTGTCCTCGCCTAGGGCTCCAGGAAGTGGAGGGCTGTCCTATCCCTACACTGTACGGGAGCCCCACTGCAGAGGCTGGGCCTGGCCCTGTGCTCCCTGCTTCTTCTCCCCTCCTAAGCAAAGCCTCTTATCTGGGTGGGGTGGGGGAGGGGAAACACTCTAAGCCCCAGGCCCAGGAGGGGGAGCGTCAGGCGGGAGTCAGGCAGGTGGCTGATCCAGAGGCTGGTGGGAAGCCGGAGACGGAGCCCCCATCAGGGTAAGCTTCCCGGGGAGCTGCCCCGGCGGCCCCTCCCTGCAGGCCTGGGGAGATGTGAGGCCGGACACCCAGACCCACAAGGCAGGTTCAGGTGAGTGTGGGGGGAGGGCTCCCAGGGGCCACCCTCTCGTCTCCATCCTCAAGTGGCTGCAGCTGTGATGAGAAGACAACAGGCAGGAAAAGCCAGAATCTGGTCCCAATGGGGGAGGGGCAGAGTCCCAGACACCCTTGGGGTTGGGGTCTCAGCACTGCAGTGCCAGGAGGGAGACGCCAGGAGCTCAGGGCCGTGGGAGGGAAGGAGGCTGTGCCCAGAGCCCTGGGTTCCTGCCCCAGCTCTGGGCTGGTCCATGCTGGCCCGAAGGCACACCCCCCTCATCTGTTATAGGGGCACATGGGGCCGCTGAGAGAACCCTTGGGGGAGCTCCAGGAGTGAGACTTTGGAGCCGTGCTCTGTGTATGGAGGGGTTTGGGGAGCTGCTAGGGGTTTGGAGGACAGAAGTTCTCTCTCCCAGTACCCCCTAAGGTCCCCACCTGTCTAGCAGGAGCCAGAGCCCCAGCCCCTCCCCACAAGATTCCCAGCTGGCCTGGGGGTGACCAATCACCCATCTTACAGGTGAGGAAACTGAGGCTCAGCCAGGAGAGGGGACCTGCCCAAGTCATGGAGCAAATCCATGGCTGAGCTCGGATGACCTGGAACTCAGCTCCCCCGCTATGTTCTGTTGAAAGTGGTTGTCCCCACCTTAATGTTCTGATGACAATAGTTGTTCCCGATCGTTGAGAAAAATTAGGAACATACTGCAAGGCCAAGGAGGAAAACCCCCCTCACACAGGCCCTTTTGCAGCTGGCATCCGTCCCCCTGGGGTTTGCTCCATTTGCCCCAAGACCCTCACACATAAGGGGGACGCTGGCTCCTGACACACACCTCCCAGCACACTCTGGCTGCCGGCTCTCCACCCGCCTGCACCCTTTCTGCCACCGCTAGGTCCTGACAGGTGAGAAGTGCCCTCCAGAGGGAGCCTTCAGGAAGTCAAGTCTTAGGTGGGACCCACCATTAGCCTCCCCTCATCCTTCACCACAGAGGGAGACCTTGGGTGAGGTCCCCACCTCAGTTTCCCCTTCTGGCTCCATGACCTGAGCTAGGCTCCTGAGGGTAGTCCGTGCCTCAGTTTCCCCACGCGGGGCTCCATTCCCCTCCTTCTCTGGGTTACAGACCCAGAGGCTCTCTCTTGTCACCCACCCCCTCCCGCAGAGAGTGGCGATGGGCGCTGGCGGCCCTCGACGGGGCGTGGGCCCCCCAGACGGCGGCTGGGGCTGGGCGGTGCTGGGCGCCTGCTTCGTGGTCACCGGCTTCGCCTATGGCTTCCCCAAGGCCGTGAGCGTCTTCTTCCGCGCGCTCATGCGTGACTTCGGCGCCGGCTACAGCGACACGGCCTGGGTGTCCTCCATCATGTTGGCCATGCTCTACGGCACGGGTCAGCGCCCCCGCCGGGCCCTCGAGATCCCCAACTAGTAGACACCGACCTCCTGAGCATGCCCCAGACCATCAGCGGGCACGGAAACCCCTCCTTCCTGTGGAAACCCTGGCACCAAAAAGAGGGAGGAGAGGGTAGGAAGGGGACCGCGGCCAGACACGGAGCCCAGCGCAGGTGGCTGTCTTGCAAGGGTGGCCAGCGCGCAGGGCCCCACCAGTCCCGCTAACAGATCCACACCCGCCTATTTTACAGGTGGGGACAGTGAGATCTAAAGAAGCAACCCCCCTCCTCGCAGGCCCTAACCGCCTGTGGGGGTGGAGGACAGCTGGGGATCTCATCCTGGGAGCAGTGGGGGGAGGGCCTGGGAGGAACAATGCGGGGATTCCAGGCTGTACCGGGTGGAGATATGAAGTCTAAGATTAAAAGGGCGTAGAAGCCTCTTGCTTTGGGTCCAGGTTCTCAGGAGTGGGCATGGGGGGATGGTGCTCTAGGCTAGGAAACGTCCCTCCCCCTCGACAAGCCGCTGTCTCCTTGATCTGTTCCAGCCAAGCTGTGTGATCTTGCCCAGACACTGCCCTCTCTGGTCCCTGAGCCGAGGATGACATTACTCCTCGGAGGCCGTCTTCTAGGGCTGGGAGGTGCAAAATCTGGGGCATATGGAGAGGAGACTGGCCCAAACCGGGCGGTGACCCTGCCCTGCCCACAGGCCCCGTGTCCAGCATCCTCGTGACCCGCTTTGGCTGTCGCCCAGTGATGCTGGCGGGTGGGCTACTGGCTTCAGCGGGCATGGTCCTAGCTTCCTTCGCTACGCGCCTCCTGGAGGTATACCTGACGGCTGGGGTGCTCACAGGTGAGGGCGCCCATTGCTCTCCCCCGCGGCGGTCGGGGGGGAGGTTCGGGAGTCCTGGCCGCAAGACCTGTCCTCAGTTTCCCCACGAGGGGCGGTCCGCGAAGTTCCTGGATCGGTTCCCGGGTCTGCCCGCCCCGTCGGGCCCGGCCCCTCCCTCCTGCGGGGGGGGGTAGGGGGGGTTAGGGAGGGACGCCCCGGGAGCCCCGCACCGCGCCGCCTCCAGCGCCGCCTCGCCCGCAGGCCTGGGCCTGGCCCTCAACTTCCAGCCGTCGCTCATCATGCTGGGGCTGTACTTCGAGCGGCGGCGGCCTCTGGCCAACGGGCTGGCGGCGGCGGGCAGCCCCGTGTTCCTGTCCGCGCTGTCGCCGCTCGGCCAGCAGCTGCTCGAGCACTTCGGCTGGCGCGGCGGCTTCCTGCTGCTCGGCGGGCTCCTGCTGCACTGCTGCGCGTGCGGAGCGGTCATGCGTCCGCCGCCCGGGCCGGGGCCACCGCCGCGCAGGGCCGGCGCCGGGGACCTGGCGGACGACGCGGCCGGCGAGGCGGACGCCGAGGCTGACGCGGAGGCGGAGGGCGAGGGGCTGCGCGTGCGCGAGGCGCCCCCTGGCGGCCGCACCCGCCGGCGGCTGCTGGACGTGGCTGTGTGCGCCGACCGCGCCTTCGTGGTGTACGCGGTCACCAAGTTCCTGATGGCGCTCGGGCTCTTCGTGCCCGCCATCCTGTTGGTGAACTACGCCAAGGACGCGGGCGTGCCTGACGCCGACGCCGCCTTCCTGTTATCTATCGTGGGCTTCGTGGACATCGTGGCGCGGCCGGCGTGCGGCGCCCTGGCGGGCCTGGCGCGCCTGCGACCGCGGGTGCCCTATCTCTTCAGCCTGGCCCTGCTGGCCAACGGGCTCACGGACCTGAGCAGCGCGCGCGCGCGCTCCTACGGCGCCCTCGTGGCCTTCTGCATCGCCTTCGGCCTCTCCTACGGCATGGTGGGCGCGCTGCAGTTCGAGGTGCTCATGGCGACCGTGGGTGCGCCCCGCTTCCCCAGCGCGCTGGGCCTGGTGCTGCTCGTGGAGGCTGTGGCTGTGCTCATCGGACCGCCCTCCGCCGGTGCGCTTCGCAGGAGGGGGTGGTGAGGCCTAGTGCCCCTTAGTCTAAGGGAAGCCCCCTCCCTGTCCCAGATGGAACTTCCAGGGATGGGGGAAGGGACTCATTGACAGAGACAGCTTGGTGTGTGGACTCCCCTCCGTGGGCAATTAGCCCCTCCCGCAAGCCGGGACCACCACCTCTCGGTGGGGTTAGAGAAGCAAGGGAAGGTTCCAGGAAGAAACCAACCAACACTGACAGCGGGCCCAGTCGGCCATCTCACACAGTGGGCACAAAGACCTTGGGAAGTGCAGGTGCTTATCGTTTTACAGATGAGGAAATGGAGGTACAGAGGTTTAGCACAAGTGGCGGTACCTGAATTAGAGCCTGGGTGTGCCTGATGCTAGATGCCCACACCTTTGAAACACGGCATCTGAATGCTTTAGTCTCCCCAGCCTCTAGGGGCCACCAGGATATGGACAGTGTCTTTGGGGAACCAGAGCTGGGGGCAGGAGCAGAGTCGCCACCACAGTCACCCTTAGGAAATCGCCATCATGAGGGTGGTCAGGGAAGGCTTCTTGGCAGGCCCCACAGGTGCGGGCACAGCATGAACAGCCCTGGGGGTTGCTTGGGGACAGTGTCCTTATGCAAATGAGGCAGGAAGTAAGGTTGGAAAGGTGGGGGTGGGCATCAGGGTCTTCCCAGGGTTGCTGGGTTATCCCGAAACGGCAGGGAGCCTGCCTTTGAGCAGGAGAGGGCTGTGGTCGGGCCGTGGGATGGAGTGATGGCGGGGAGGCCACCTTTGCCAGGCGGGGGCTGCACCTGGGATGGGGTAAGCTGCCCATCCTTCCTCCAGGGCTGAGCCAGCCAAGTGCCCTCATCAAGCCTCACCTCCCCTGACCCAGTGAGATTGGCAAAGCCCCTGAGCCAGTGTGTGGGTGGCCCTCAAAGCCACCACCAGAAGCCACAAAACCAGCCCACCCAGAAGCCCAGGGACCCAGCTTCCATTTCTGGTGTGACCCTGGGTGGATCTAATGGGCAGAGAAGGCACCTGGGGTGAGAATGCCCCAGGAGGGTGGAACCTACAGAGGAACCACACTTTAGGGGAAAATATTTGCAATTAAAAATTTCCCTGAGGATGAAAGTAATACATGCATGTGATAGAAACCTCGGAAAATACAGAGAAGGGAATAGGAGGGACTGGCCCCAAGCCCTGCCTCCCAGCCTGTGCTGATGCTAATTCTGGGGTGCTCGTGGGCCCCTGGCAGGGGCAGGAGGCCAGGGGTGTGGGTGAAGGTGGGTGGGAGGGCTGAGCCAGGCCCTGAGGCCCTGGGGGTTTACATGGCAAGGGCAAGGGCAAGAGTTGATGGCCCCAGGAGGGCAGAGCTAAGGCCAGTGTCCCTCACCACCCCCACAGATCCCCTCTGCCAAGCAAGTCGCAGCACACTGTGGGGCTTGAATCAGGAGGTGGAGGGGGTGCCTAACCAGAGGCCCATAGCACTTAGGAAGCTGAGGTCCAGGGCGGGATTTTGCATCTGTAGAGCATGAATAAAGAGTGTGTGTGTGTGTGTGTGTGTGTGTGTGTGTGTGTGTGTGTGTGTGTGTGCGCGCGTGCGTGCGCGTGTGTGGCAGTGCCGCCCTTTATCTGGGGGTGTAGGGAGGCAGAGGAAGGGCCCCAACAGCCCCTTACCTCCCACCGCTCCCAAACAGGCCGCCTGGTGGACGCTCTGAAGAACTATGAGATCATCTTCTACCTGGCTGGCTCTGAGGTGGCCCTGGCAGGGATCTTCATGGCTGTTGCCACCAACTGTTGCCTACGCCGCTCTAAGGACACCCTGTCAGGCCCAGGCACCGAGGGTGGGGCCAGTGACACAGAGGAAGTCGAGGCTGAAGGGGACCCTGAGCCCCTGCCCGCCGGCGCAGAGGAACCTGGCAGCCTGGAGGCCCTGGAGGTGCTGAGCCCCCGGGTCGGGGCCCCGGAACCAGAGGTGGAGGCACAGCCAAGGCCAGCCCCCGAGCCTGTGTAGCTCCAGTGCACTGGGGTGGCCCAGTGACTTGGGAACGTGGCTTCCTGTCCCAGAGGGCCTGGCACACTGGGAGGCTGGTCTGAGGTGGTCGCTCCTGGGGACCACGTCTGGGCTGCAGTGGGTTCCCCAGGTGTCTGGGGGGCTGCCCCTCGCACCTGCCTGGCGGCCCTGCCAGGCCCTGACCTGGTCAGCGAGGCTGCCGTGGATCTGCAGGAGACTGGGGTTGATAAAGCTGCGCTGAAAGACCGAAGCTTCTGTTCCTGCACCTCCGCCCGGGCCCCAGCTGCCACCTGAATTAGGGTGGGCTGGGAGGGAGTTAGAAGTTTCTCCCCAGGGCCCCCTGAGCTGGCCTCGAATTGGGCAGAGTTGGGTGCGGAAGTGTCACCCACGTGCAGGGTGGGGCAGCGTCCCCAGTCTAGAGACGGGGCCGGGAGAGCACGGCACTTGGCTGAAGCCCCGCTGGCTGCCCTTCCTGCGGAGGGGACGCAGGGTTGCAGCGAGTAGGGCTCGAGGATGGGCACTGCTCGGTGGCAGGGGGCCTGCCTGTGAGAAGGAGCACAGGTCCCCGGGCAGGGTGGAATTGAAGCCTGGCCTGGCGTCGCTTCTGTCTCCTCCTTTGCACACTGGAGGTTGAGTACTGGACTCCGCCCCGTGGCGTGCTGGGGAGTGCGTGGGGGCCAGATGCTCAGTGACAGCACTGGCCCTGCTGCCTTCAGCGAGGCATCCGTGTCCCCTCACCTTCCAAAGAGGGCCCCTCTCCCTCCAGAGGATAAACTCAGGTGTCCCGGTGCACTCTCCTTACCGCTCTCACCCCCACCCAGGGCCTTGGGTGGCCCTGCGCAGTGTCTGTCCTGCCCTGCCCCAGAGAAGGTTTCCTCCACATCCAGAAGCACCGCAGTCAAAGACGAGGGAGGCTACAAAGGCCCCACGAAGCAGGAAGCTTGGGAGGCAGGTGGCAAAGGCGAGCCTTCGGGACTGGCGGGTCTGAGTTCAGATCCCACTGTGTCCCCATATGTGGGGGGCCTTAAGCAAGACATTTCTCTGAGCCCCGTGTCCCCAGCTGTAGTGGGGACGACAGTGCTGATCTCGCAGGGCAGCAGTGAGGAATAAATGGCGTACAGAAAGGGAACTGTCAGTAGATACCGCCCCCACCTCGTGACCAGGGAGGCAGGCGAGGGGGCGAGGCCACTGCGCAGACTGCTCCGTTGGGTTTGTGTTTATTTGATACAGGCCCAGTGCCCAGCCCTCTGCCGGAGAAGTGGCTGGGCTGGGGGACAAAATAAATAAAGGCCGCCAAGGTGTGAGTGTGGACCGGGCGGGCCACTCTGGGGCAAGGCGAGGGTGCACAGGCACCGGCGCCAACCTCAGCTGTCCACCCTGGCAGCTCCGGGGGCGGGGCCGTGAAAGTGCCCACAAGGACCACGTCCTGGACTCTCTGCCACCTCCAACCCCTCTTCCTGTCTGCCCTCTCTCCCCTTCCTAAGGCAGGTCCAGAGACCAGGCTTTCCCTCTGGCGGGGGTGGGGGTGGGGCGCTAGCGTCCAGGTCCCAGGCCGTGGCCCTGGTGCCTTTCCCGGGCAGGAGCCCAGCTTAGCTGTGCGAGGACAGAGGAGCAGGGAGGCAGGGCCCCAAGCCAGCAGGCCTTTATGCGCCACCCTGTTGTGCGGCAGCCCCGCCCCCACTCCCACACGCGCAGCCTCCCGCTCACCCTACCCCCCAGAGCCACACCCCGCGGGGGCACTCAGGAGTCACACCAGCTTCCACCCTTGTCCAACGGCCCAGCAGCCCCTCGTGCATCCCTGGACGGCTCTCCAGCTGCTGTGTCCTCCTCCTCTTCCTCTTCCTCGTCCTCCCCGTCCATGTACTCGTCCTGATTAGGGCCGTAGGCCAGGGTGGTGTGCGCCAGGTCCACCTCGATGGGGAAGACATCAGCATCCCGCAGCACCGCGTAGCAGTCGTTGTAGTACTTGGACATGGTGGACACGAAGCGCTGCAGCTGGAACACGATGTCCTGGACTGGAGCGGGAGGGCAGGGGACAGGCACCAATGGGCTGTGGCTGCCTGCCTCGGGGAGGAGACCACCTGGCCCACCTTCCCTCCCCTGGGCTTCCCACTTGGCATCTCACCAACCCCTCATGCCCTGGGAAGGGCAGAGGCAAGGACTGTCCACCCCGGGAGAACCCAGGCCTCCTGGCTCCTGGTTCAGGGAATGGAGGAGGCCGTAGGGCACGTGGATCAGGGACCACACCCATGGAGCCCAGAGCACAGGGCCAGCCCCGTACAGGCCGGGCCCTGGGGAGGTGGGTGGGCTCCTGCCAGGCTTTACATCCTGCGTCTGACCTGGCCCTGGGACCTCAGGTGGCTACTCTACCTCTCTGGGTCTCAGTTTTCCCATCTCTAAAACGGGGAGAAGATGGTATCCCCCCCATACCAAGGGCCCCATAAGAACTAAGGTAGCTCGTGGCCCTCAGGTCCCCAACGCCCACCCGAGGCGCTCACCATGCTTCTGATCCAGCAGCTCCATCTTCTCGAGCACGTCCTTGCGCATCTGGGAGAAGCGGGCGCGGGCCTCCTGGCGGCAGCGCAGGATCAAGCGGTACTCATAGTTGCCTGTGCTCACTCGGTACAGGGGTTCCCCTAGGGCCTGAGGCAGGGGTAGCACATTAGGGACCCTGGGCAGAACGGGGGGGCCTGCTCAGGGACAGATGGGGCAGGGGCAGGAAGGCTGTGGCACTAACCCCCTCCCCCAGCTCACAGCCCTGCACCACACTGCATTTTCTAAAGCCACCTTGCTGCTTCACTTCCGAGATGCCAGCAATTGTTAGAAGCACTTAGTGATAATAGATTTGGAGCTTGGAAAAAAAACAACAAAAATCCCAAACCTTTGCCACATTAAATGGATATTGGCCACAAGATGGATCCTGACAGCAAAAGTATTAAAAATTTAAAAAATAAAAAGGGCCTCTTAGGAGTAAAGAAAGTCAGCTTTTCCCTGTAAGAGCCTTACTAACTGCGGGGGGCCGTGGCCGGGAGCAGGCATGGGGAGCGGGCCCCCGCAAGCCGCTAGGGAGGGACTGAGGTGGGGGTGAGTGGCCCCAAATATCCAGGAACGAGAGTCCGACTAAACCCCCAGGTCTCTCCCAGTTGGCCTGACCCACCTGCTGTCCCTGGCAGACCCAGGACATTCGGGGGCTCTGCCAGGCAGGGGCGGGAAGGTGTGTGCCCCCCCCCGACACTCACGATGCAGCTGTACTCCTCGTCGTCCATCTCCTTCACCTTCAGGCAGTACGACTGCGGGACAGGCGAAGCTGTCAGCACGGCCGGTCCGCCCCAGTGGCCCCAGCTCCCCCCATGCGGTTCCCCCAGGCCACCCCAGGAAGCTGGGCCCACCCAGAGAGGGGCAGCCATGCCAGGCCTCCTGGTCCCGCAGCCCCTGAGCTGGGATAAACTGGGGTACGTCGGGAGAGGCTGGCACACATACTCAGGGAGGCCCAGGGGTTACCAAATTCAAGTCCCAAGAGATGCTCTGGGAAAAAAGGGATCCACGGTCAAAGGAGTTTAGGAAGACCCTTGAAGACTCAGACTGCACCTGGCTCTCAAAGGCTGAGGCCTGCAGCAAAGGAACCTTGGCTTGCTTAATGGGGCTTTTCTCAATTCCTCTGACCATAGGATTATTATTTAAATGTAAATTTCGTTAACACCCACTTTACAACCACTGACCTGGTCTAACCAATTGGTAAAGTGACAAAAAAATCCAAAGGGGTCAGAGTGATAGAGGGAGAGCTTGCCCATCCCAAGCTCTCAGCCTCCCAGAGGCTCCTCTGAGCAGTCAGGGAAGGGCCCAGGCTGCACCTCCGCCGGCCCCCGGTCCCACATCCTTAATCAGACATGACGGACATCCTGGACCAGTCCTGCCTGCCACGGTGTGGGTGACAGGAGGGGGGCAGATCTCAAGCGGGCTCTCACCAGCGGGCCCGACGCCTGGGGACTACTCACCAGGTACTCGAACTTCACGTCCAGGTACTTCTTGATGGTGAGGCGAGTGTCTGGGATGGCTTTGTTGAGGTATGTGTTCAGATCCGTCAGCATCTGACGGGGAGGGTGGGTGGATGTCATGGGCAGCCATGCCAGGGTTACAAAGAATGGCACTGATGAGTCACCCCTTCTAGTGGACTCGGACTGTCAGAGGCAGAGGGTGCTCCCTGTGGCCTTGTCCATTCCAAGGATAAGAAGACTAAGGCCAGGCCAGGAGCAAGCTGTCACTCAATGGCAGAGCCAGGGCCAGAAACCAGCCTAGAGGTCAATGCTGAGGCCCAAGGAGGCACAGCGACTTACCCACGGTCAGCTGTGGAGGTGACCAAGCCAGAACCTGCACCCAGGCGCTCTGACTCCAGTATAGGACCCTTTCTGCAGGCCACGTGTCCCCTCCCTACCCTCACATGCTGGACACACGCCATTCTCCAAGAGACCTACCGGCTTGATGGTTTTCAGGAGCCGAATGCCAAACTTCTCAATGCTGCGGTGGGCGTCGGCAAACTTCATGAAAGCCTCGCTGGCTGCTGGCTGGGGCTCCCGCACTCCAATCACGGAGAACACGTCCCCAAAGGCTGCATGACAAGTTTGCCTTGGAGGCTGCCCCTACTTGACCCCCTAATGGAGAAGTCAGGGATTTGTTGGGGAGACACAGGGCAGGGGGCCTGGCAGGCTGGAGGCCAAGGTCTGCACAGGGGAGCTGTGTGACCCTTCCCTCTGTCCCGCCCGGCTACAGGAGTTGTAGGAAATACCACCATGTTTAGGAAGGGCCTCGTGCACTGTCAGTGGCAGTACGAGGAGGAAGGCCAGGTCCGGACGTCCCATTATTGTGGCCGCAAAGGCCAGCTGACCTAGACGCTCCCACAGGCCCACCATGGCTACACCCCAGCATCTAGGACCACGCCCAGCACAAGGCTGGCCTCAGGCCAGATGCCATGGGTCTGACCCCCTCTGCATAGGTGTGAGAAGGGGCCCAGGGAAGAACAAGTCATCAGACAGGGGTACTGGGCCCAGAAAGGCACAGGGTCACACAGCAGGTTTGGGGGATGCCATTACCCCGGTGGGTCTGCGACAGCTCATAAAAGGCCCGTAGGAGGCTCTTGGTGTGTTCCATCATCCCTGTGGGAGAGACACAGTGATAGGGGATGGGGACACATGGCAGGGACCACACTGCCCAGGGAACAGCCTCCCACTCCCACCCGCCCCTGAGGCCCT